CTATTTATTTTATTGAAATTATTATTAATTGATGTAAATAAAATTTTTTTTTATTAATATAAAGGATTATTTGGGTTGACAAAGTTTTTTTTCAGTGTAAATTTCTTTAAAAAAAGCGAGTACTTGAATTATAGCGAGTTTCCAAGTGATATGGTGATATTATTCATTTATTTAAATTACTTTTGTTTTAATAAGTTTTTGAGTTGCGCCACACACAATCACTACAATCAGTACCTGCACACGTTAACCTGTTAATTATCTCTGCAAAGAAGTATAAATATTTCTATTGTTTGTTGAGCATTTTTCAGCTAATCAAGCACAGAAAATATGTGGTTATAAAATATGCGTGTACAAGTATTCCAAACGGTGAAGGCTAAATCTTAAAAAAATATTTCACAAAAGTTAAAACTCTCGCTAAAACTGTAGATCTACTTAAATACCTAAATAGCTGCAGCACTTGCGATAACGGGGGACGAGGAGCCTGTTATTGATGTTGTTGTTGTTGTTGTTATTGTTGTTGTTGTTGTTGTTGTTGTTGTTGTATGACCCGAGTATGTTGATACATGACATATGTGCCAAATCGTTTTAGGAGTTATTAAGTAAGAGTTAAAATTATCGATGCTAAACGACAATTGTTAAAGTAAAGAATTTTAATAAAAAAAAAAAAAAAAAAAAGAAAAAACAATCTACGTTACATGTAATACGCGTGGCTGTGAATCCAAGAGCGTCCAAAGAGTAAAATAATGAAATTGTAAAAGTGAACGAATAAAATAATTGTCAAAAAGCGTGGGATGGATGACGATGAACACGGGATACTTTTAAACGAGGAAAACAAAAAAAGAAAAAAAAAAGGTAAATTTTTTAATTTATAATAAGAAAACACCAATACGATTCGAGACCGAGGGGTTGTCGTGAACCGGAATGACGAAAAATTTCGCAACAACAATCAAAATCACAAAGAAGAAATCTACGTACGTTGGTCGTTCGTACAAATTCGTGTGTCGTAAATTGCAATATTGAAAAAAAAAAAAAAAAAAAAAAAAAAAAAAAAAAAAAAAAAAAAAAAAAAAAAAAAA